AAATAGCAAATTTTAAAAAACACTAAATGATCAGTTCTCTCCAGAGGCTACCACTGTTAAGGTTTCTTAGGTGTCCTTCCAGAAATAGTCCCCGCACAGACAAGCGTATTTGGTTTTTAATAAGCTGTAGGTATTTTGCTGCGTGGTTAGATTCTGAAACCAGTGCATTAATTAGCCGGCTGCTAGCGGCCTGCACCTGGGGACCCCTGATATAACGTCTTTTAGGTTATTCCCCCCACCCCCCCGCTCCACTTCTTGTGTTTTCAAGGGCATTTTTTATATTTGGATACAGAACAAAACTGTGTACTGGGGGCTTGCAGGGTGGGAAGGAGCCTGTAACCAAAAGGCTGATGCTGGTGTGAAAGGAGGGCCCAGAGGAAATAAGCCAGCCAGGCGAGGGTTCTCACATGTGGGTGTCAGGGAGGTTCCACAGGGCTGTTTGGGGGTGATGATGGGCTGGGGAGGGGGAGGGTCTATAACAGGAAGGCGGGGGTAAATTCCCCTCCACCCCAGGGCAGAATTCAGCCAAAGTTAGAAACCTATCAAATTCCTCTTCTCCTGGCCCATGGCCAAGCAAAGTCATTAACGGGCCTCCTTGCAGATCCAGGTGCATTTTGCAATCACAGACTCGCCCCGTCTCTGACTTTTTGAACAAGCCTAGCTTTCATCTCCTGGGCTTTTCCAGAAAAGCCTCTTAGAATCGGGTCTGAGACCTTTTGATGTTGGCTTTCATCAGCTACATTCCCCTGACCGTCTTCCTTGCTGAAAAGTGATTCCAAGGTCAGGGTGAAAACCCCTGCGAGAAGGTGGGGCCGGGTGACCTGCCCGCGTCCGGCACGGGGTTCTCCAAACGTAAGGTGTCTGGCGCCGTCTTCAGCCACATGCAGCCACGCTCAGCAGACCAGACCCGGCAGGAGCACAGAAAGATCCAGCCCGCCGAGGGAGCGTTCTGGGGTACAGAGTGCAGGCGACAGGGCCCCCTGAGCCCACCAGAGGCCTCTGCTGCCCAGCTCAGAAGAAGGCTTATCCTGGGGCGCCTGGGTGGCTTAGTCGGTTAAGCGTCCGACTTTTGCTTAGGTCATGATCTCGCGGTTCGTGGGTTCCAGCCCCGCGTCGGGCTCTGTGCTGACTGCCAGCTCGGAGCCTGGAGCCTGCTTCAGTCTGTGACTCCCTCTCTGACCCTCCCCTGCTCACGCTGTCTCTCTCTCTGTCTCCTAGAAATAAACATTTAAAAAAAAAAAAGAAAGAAGAAGAAGGCTTATCCTGAAGACTACCTCTCAAATCGTCCCCAGAAATGTTCCATCTTAGACTTCAAAATTCTATTTCTTCCTTGAGGGACACCCACCCAGGCTGAGACCCTGAGGAAGCTGTGCGGCGCCTACTACAGAGTTTAGATAGGATCTTTTAGTTCCAGAGTTGGGGGGCAGGGGGGAGGCGGGGAGGGGTGGTGGGGGAGGACCTTCATTTCTCTCAAGTGATGTCAGCCTGCTTCGAGTGTGAAATTTAAACCCTCCATGGCTTTCACAAAAATCATCTCTTTTTTCTAATAAGCATTTTGATAGAATGAGTCAGAAACAACACCTTTTGGGGGTTGGGGTGTCTGGGGGTTTCTAATCTGAGTTGATCCGAGGGATTCTGAACAGTGCCCCAGCTGGTCTGTGAGACCTCGGTTTTGAGTTGAGGGTGCTTGCAGCAGTACTTTGAAACCCCCGGACATTTGTGTTAGATATTTTATTTTCACCTGTCATGGCAGTTTGATATAAAAAAACAGACCTTTATCAGAGGAGCTAGAGAGCACACAAATTAGTCCTTTTGACGGTATCCCATTTAAGTTATTCAACATGGAACCATGTCTGCCTTCCAGACTCCCAGTCTTCCTCACTCAGCCCTGCAATCAGAACTCCCACTTCAGTTTGTCTGAATTCTGCTGTGTTTTTTGATTTGTTTCTCTGGCTGGAAACAAGAAGAAATTTGAGGGGGCTGTGGTTGGGGTGGGGGAGAATCAGCACCCCAGAGCCTTTTCTCCACCATGGTCTTGTTCTCATTCTTCATGCTTCACCTTTCTGGCTGCCCCCAGAGTACCGATCTAGAGGATTCAGGGGTCTCCGGCATTTGCAAAGGTTACCTGCTAGCCTTAGAAAAGTTCTGGAAAGTTTGGTGTTAGTCAGATCTTTTTTTTTTTTTTTAAGCACATTAGCCACGATGCTGGCCATTTAAAGTAGGAATGAATGAATTATTGCACAACAAGGAAGCTTTCAGTTGCATGCATTAGTACACACCATCTGCGGTCTAAATGAGATTTTCCCAAGTTGGGATTCCCGGAAGAAGAGCACAGGGTAGGCCAGTTGAACAGGATTCGGGAAATCTTCTTTCACAAGCGTGTTGCCCAGAGAGGTTCAAGATGGTTTGCGGTAGAATGGTCATGTACTTCCTGCTGCAAGGTCTTCAGCCCCGGGAGCTCACAGGGGAAGACCTGCTGGGACCCCTTTTGTTCATTGGGAAACTCCCACATCTCTGTGTCACCATGAGAAAGAGGGGACTGCCACAGATGAAGAGTTACAAATTATTCTAATCTTTGCATTCAATTAGGCACAAAATTGCCTCTCTGCCTAGGAATCGCGCTGTATAATCCTGAATTCCCTGCATGTTAAGGCAGGCCTTGAAGGGAGGGCTCAGCGCCAGGTGGGGACACCCATAGACCGGAGGCCTGCAAATGGGGACCTATCATCAGGAGAGCCCTGGTGATGACCGCGCATAGTCCCCACTGAAGCAGAGCTCGCCTCAGAGCTTTAAAACAGCCTCAAGGCATGAATCATTATATTGCCAAGGCTGGCTGGCTCGAGAGGAACCGAAAAAATGAAAATGACTCCTTTTGCTCATTAGCAAAGGGGAATACGCAAATGGCGAGGGTACCTGTGTCTCAGAGCCACACCGCTGTTTGGATTTGACAAGCAGAGCACTCTTCATGCCAACTCTTTTCTAGCCTTCGTCCATGTTCTGAGCAGTTTGACGGAGGCTGGAAATGAGGGACTTGAGAAAAGTAGAGTGTTTTTCACACTAACCACGTTAATCAGTGTTAGATCCATTTTTGTGATTTGATGCTCATTATAGACTCACATTTTCTTTTTTTTTTTTCTTTTTCTAAAGTTTATTTATTTTGAGAGAGAGACAGAGACAGAGACAGACCAGGACAGGGACAAAGAGAGAGAATCCCAAGCAGGCTGTGTGCTGTCAGCACAGAGCCCAATGTGGGGCTTGAACTCACAAACCGTGAGATCATGGCCCGAGCCGAAATCAACAGTCAGACGCTCGACTGAGCCACCCAGGCACCCCGACTCCCATTTTCTACAGCAGGTTTCTCCATGACAGCACAGTAGTCTAGACCACATTTGAGACCAGAAAGTTCTTTATTGTGGGGTGTTCAGCGGCGCCCCTGGCCTCTACCCAAGACATCCCCGTAGCGCCTCCCATTGTAGTCACAACCAAAGCAGACCTTGCCAAAATCACACACACACACACACACACACACCTTTGTTCACTGTTCTGTAGGAAAGAAGCAGTAGAAAATCATCTTTGTCCTAAACTAGTTGTACTTTTAAAATAGATCGTAAGGTTTTACAGACATTTGGTTCATTCCCTACGTGGAGTAAGACTTTATTCTCGCCAAGTGGCCTTCACAAAACCCGAGACTCTGCTCTCTCCCCTTCCCATCTGCTGTCCCCATGCTGTTCATATGTTGCTAATAACTTACCTGGCCTGTGAATTCATTACAAGGCCATTATTTTCTTTCCTCTGCTCATGCGTCCGTTCACGCACCAGCGTGCTCAGCCAGCTCTCACCACGTGCCACGTGCCCGGTGACGAGCAAGCGCCACCTCGTACGGCCAGGACACCCATAGTGCCTCACAGTGCATCCACCTCCCTCAGCTCGTCTGTGTTGAGGAAGGTGGGACTGCATCTGCCGTGGAGGAATGAGTCCAACAGACTTGGGTTCAAATCCCACCTCCACTGCGTATCGGCACTGGGTAGCCTTGCACTACTTCTTGAACCTGTGTACCTCAGTTTCCCCGTGTGAACCTGGGGGGTGGTTTCCTTTCCGTGGCAGATTCCTGTGAGGCTTTAATGAGATTGTGTACATCAGGCATTCTTAAACGGTAACTTCTTGTCTGCCAGCTGCTAAGTCGTACATCCGAGTCACCATCTTTGTGGGTGAAAAACAGTCAAATACTGGCAACTTCCTACAGCGTGATTAAACAGAATGACTCTGCTTGGTTATTTCCCCGCATTCCTGCCCTGTCTCTGAGGAGGCATCCTGCCGGAACAACATAACACACTTCAGAGGACAGAGCTACTCGCTATAGTCCTTGTAGTTTATACCAGCATTTTTTAAATTAAAAAAAAAATTTTTAATGTTTATTTTATTTGTGAGAGAGAGACAGAGTGTGAGTGGGGGAGGGTCAGAGAGAGAGAGGGAGACACAGAATCTGAAACAGGCTCCAGGCTCTGAGCTGTCAGCACAGAGCCCGACGCGGGGCTCGAACCCACGAACTGGGAAATCATGACCTGAGCCGAAGTCGGACGCTTAACTGACTGAGCCACCCAGCACCCCCCTGCCCCAATTTTTTTTTTTAATGTTTATTTTTGAGAGAGACAGACATAACATGAGGGAGGTGGGGCAGACAGAGAGGGAGACACAGAATCCAAAGCAGGGTCCAGGCTCCAAGCTGTCAGCACAGAGCCCGACGCGGGGCTTGAACTCACAAACCTGGAGATCATGACCTGAGCCAAAGTCGGCCACTCAACCAGCTGAGCCACCCAGGTGCCCTGCAACTGGTATGTTTCAGAGGCCTGCAGTCTAGGAAAGTGCACTCTCCCAACCGTGCAGCCAATCTGAGGAGATAACCTGGATCGCAGCAGTTGTTCAGTGTTCTGTTGTTGTTCAACCCCCGGATGGCTGTCATGGGTGGGCATTTCTCTGATGTGTCTGTACTTCTGTCCCAGGTCACTCTGCTCATCGCCTTCATCTGCGTGCAGAGCTCTGCGTGGAACAGGTACAGTGCCTACACCTACTTTGAAGTGGTCACCATCTGCAACCTGATAATGATCCTCGTCTTTTACCTGGTGCACCTCTTCCGTCTCTACCGTGTGCTCACCTGCATCAGCTGGCCCCTGTCGGTAAGGGAGTGGCCTGGCCCCAGCAGTCAGTGTATTAGCTGGGGCACTGAGACCCAACGGAATCCGTCCCGTCTGCACCCCACAGTGTCCCCCTCCTCTCTCATCTCTTCCTGCCATAGCCCTGCACTTCCCACCGCCTGCTGGGCTTCCGGCCTGAGTCCCACTGGTTTCTAAAACTCACTTCCCAGCTACAGGAAGGCTGTCCGCCTGCCTCAGCGTTTATTTTCTTGAGTGATGGAAAATGGGCCATGTGTGTATGAGTTGGGAGGAGGAATGTGGGAGGAAGAAGCTCATAAAGGCCATTGCCTCACTGTTGTGAGTACTGAATGGTAAGATTCAGCAGTCAAAAGGGGCCTGCAGAATCTCAGGAAAGATTTCAGAAGTTTCCAGAGTTTTTTCTTCCTACTCTATTATTTAAAAAAAATTTTTTAATGTTTATTTTTGAGAGAGAGAGTATGAGTGGGGTAGGGGTAGAGAGAGAGGGAGACACAGAATCTGAGAGAGACAGAGACAGATCATGAGTGGGTTAGGGGCAGAGAGAGAGGGAGACACAGAATCTGAAGCAGGCTCCAGGCTCCGAGCTGTCAGCACAGAGCCTGATGTGGGGCTTGAACCCATGAACCAAGAGATCATGACCTGAGCTGAAGTCAGACGCTTAACTGACTGACCCCCACAGGCGCCCCTCTATTATTTTCTTATAAGCTTGATTGGCGTACACTTCTCATGCCATTCAACTGCCTATTAAAAGTGTCCGGTTCTCCAGATTTCTGTATTCCCAGAGTTGTGAACCATCGTCACAGTTGATTTTAGAATGTTTTCTTCGCTTCAAAAAGAAACCCCATACCCTTGAGCTGTCACCGCCTGCCTTTCATCCCCTTCAACCTTAAGCAACCACTAATCTACTTCCTGTCTCTCTGAATTTTCCTCTTCCTGACATTTCCTGTGAATGGAAGCACATGTGTGATCTTCTGTGACTGGCATCTTTCACTTAGCAGAGGGTTTTCGTGTTTTTTCTGTGGTATAGCAGAGGTCAGTACTTCCATTTTTTTTTTTTTTTAACAGCCAAGGAATATTCCATTGAAAGGATATACCACATTCTGTGTATTCTGGTGGACATTTGAGTTGTTTCCACCTTGTGGTTATTTCAAATAATGCTGCTGTGAACATTCACGTACAAGCTTTTTGTGTGGACGTGTTTTCATTTCGCTAGGGAATATACACGAGAGCAGAATTGCTGGGTCCCATGGTAACTGTGTTTAATCGTTTGAGGAAGTGCCAGACTTTTTTCCAAAGTGGCTGCACCATTTTACATTCCCATCAGCAGTGTTGTAGGAGGGGTCGGGTTTCCCCATATCCTTATCAATACTCGTTATTTTCTGGCTTTCTGATTTTAGTCACTCTAGTGAGTGTGAAGTGGTATCTCATGGTTTCGATTTGCATTTCTCTGATGACTGTTGAGGTCAGTCATCTTTTCATGAGCCTTTTGGCCATTTGTGAGTTTTCTTTAGAGAAATGTCTACTCAGATCCTTTGCCCATTACTTGATTAGGTTGTCATTTTATCACCGAATTCTCAGAGTCCTTTGTATATTTTAGTTAGAAGTCCATTATCAGATAAATGATTGGCAGATACTTTCTCCCATTCTGCTGATTATTTTTCGCTTCTTAATTTTTTTTAATATTTATCCATTTATTTCGTGAGAGGGAGAGAGTGCTTGCATGCACACACACAAGCCTGGAGAGACAGGGACAGAGAGAGGGGGAGAGAGAGAGAGAGAAATCCCAAGCAGGCTCTGCACTGCCAGCACAGAGGGGCTTGGACCCACGAGCTGTGAGATCATGACCTGAGCCAAAACCAAGAGTTGGATGATCAACCTGCCTGAGCCACCCAGGCATCCCTAGTTATCACTTTCTTGATAGTGTTTATCAAAGCACATGTTTTTAGATTTGATGAAATCTAATTTAACTACTTCTTTCTTGTTGATGGTGTTTTTGGTATAAAATCTAAAAAGCCCTTGCCAAACCCAAGATCATTGAGATTTACTTCCATGTTTTCTTCTAAGGAGTTCCATAGTTTCAGCTCTTACATTTAAGTATTTGGTCTATTTTGAATTAATGTTTGTGTCTGATGTGAGGTAAGGATTCAGCTTCATTCTTTTGAAGGAAAGACCACATTGAAATGTAAATATCCAGTTGTCCAGGCACCATCTGGGAGGAAAAACTGTTCTTTCCTCAGTGAAGGGTGTTGGCATCCTGGCTGAAAATAACCATAAACACATGGATTTATATCTGGACTCTCGGTTGCACTGATCTTAGCATACTGTCTTTGGGTTGGTGTAGATTTGTAGCTGGTTATGAAAATAGGAATTCTGAATCTTCCTGTTTGTTCTTTTTCAGGATTGTTTTGGATTTTTGCAATTCCATATGAATTTTAGAATCAGGTTTTAGGGCACCTAGGTGGCTCAGTCGGTTAAGTGTCTGACTTTGGCTCAGGTCATGATCTCACAGTTCGTGGGTTCGAGCCCTGCATCAGGCTCTGTGCAGACAGCTTGGAGCCTATAGCCTGCTTCGGATTCTGTGTCTCCCTCTCTCTCTGCCCCTCCCCTGTTCACACTCTGTCTCTCAAAAATGAATAAACGATAAAAAAAAAAATCAGCTTTTTAGTTTCTACAAAGATGTCAGCTGGGATTCTAATACAAACTGCACTGAATCTGTAGATCAATTTGAGTATTGCCATCTTAACAACATTAAGCTTTGTGACCTAGGAACATAAAGGTTTTCCCATTTATTTAAATCTTCTGTAATTTCAATAATGTTTTGTAGTTTGCAGAGTATACATTTTGTGCATTTTGGACAGGGGAGCTTAAATTTGTTCCTAAGTATCTTATTTTTTTGATGATATTTCAAATGCAGTTATTTTCTCAATTTAATTTTTGGATTGTTCATTCCAAGTGGATAGAAATACAAGAGGTTTCTGTATATTGATCTTGTCTCCTTAACCTTGCTGAACTCATTTTCGATCTAATAGACTGTTAGTGGATTCCTTAGGATTTTCTAGATACAAGACTATACCATCTATGAATAGAGATAGTTTTATATTCCTTTCCAATCTGGATGCCTTTTGTTTCATTTTCTTGTCTTATTGTAAGAAATTAGTTGAATATTGAAGTGGCAAGACCACACATCACTCTCTTATTCCTGAGCTTAGGAGGAAATATGTTAGCCATGGGTTTTTACAGATGCGATTTATCAGGTTGAAAAAGTTAACTTCCAGTTCTACTTTGTAGAATGTTTTTATCATGAAAGGGTCTTAGATTTTGTCAAATGCTTTTCCTTTGTCTATTAAGATAACCACGTGGGTTTTGCCCTTAATATTCTATTAATATGGTGTATTACATTGACTTTCATATGTGGAACTAACATTTGCATCCCTGTGATAAATTTTGTTTGGTCATGATATATAATTCAGCTTATGTGTATAGCTGGATTTGGTTTGCTAGCGTATTATTGAGGATTTTTATATTTGTATTCATAGGAGATATTGGTCTGTAGTTCTCTTGTGATACCTTTGTCTGGTTTTGTTATCACGGTAATACTGGTCTGATAGAATAATTTGGGAAGTGTTACCATGTCTTCTATTTTTTAGAAGAGCTTGTAAAAAATTGGCATTCTTATTTAAACGTTTGGTAGAATTCTGCAATGAAGACCTCTGAGCTTGGGTTTTTCTTGTGGGTAATTTATTCTTATTAATTCAAACTATACTTGTTTTAGATTTTTTTCAGATTTTTTTTTTTGCTTGAGTCATTTTCAGTGGTATGTTTTTATAGGAACATGTCTATTTCATGTAAGTTTTCTAATTAACTGGCATGCAATTGTTCATAGTATTCCTTTAAAATCTGTTTTACCTCTGTAAGATCCATAGTGATGTCCCCTCTTTTGTTTCTAATTCCGGTCATTTGAATCTGGCCGTTTTTTTCTCTCTCGCTTTTTTTTTTTTTTTTTTTTTGATCAGTGTAGCTAAAGGTTTGGCTGTTTTGTTTACCTTTTCAAAGAACTTGTGTTGGTTTCACTAATTTTCTCTATTGTTCTTTTGTCCTCTAGATCATTAATTTCTGCTCCAGTCTTTTTTTTTCCTTCAGTCTCCTTGTTTTAGGTTTAGTTTGCTCTTTTCCACTGTCTTAAGGTAAAGATTAAGTCACTACTTTGAAATCTTTCTTCTTTTTTAAGATAGATGTGTACAGCTATATATTTCTTTCTGAGCACTGCCTTACTTGCATCCCATAATTTTAGTATATTATGTCTTCATTTTTATTCATCTGCAAGTATGGTCCAATTTCCCTTGTGATTTTGTCTTTGATTGGCTCATTACTTAGGAATGTGTTATTTTCTACATATTTGTGGGTTTCCCAAATTTCTTCTTGCTATTGCTTTCTTATTTCACTCTTGTAGCTGAAGAATATATTTCATGTTATTTCAGTCCTTTCATATTTATTGAGTTTTATTTTATGGTTTAGCATATAGTGCTTCCTGGAGGATTTTCTGTGCATTTGAGAAGAATGTATATTTTGTTGTTGGGTAGAGTGTTCATAGAGGTCTATTAGGTCTAGTTTCCTTACAGTATTGAGTCTTCTATTTCCTTGTTGATCTTCTCCGTAATTGTTCTCCACATTATTGAAAGTAGGGTATTGAAGCCTCCAACTATTATTTTTTAATTACCTGTTTCTCCCTTCACCTTTTTGAGTTTTTGCTTTATATGTTGATTTGTTATTAGGTGCATATGTGTTTATAATTGTTCTGTCTTCCTGATGGATTGACATTTCATCATTATAAAATGTCCCTCTTTATCTCTGGTAACACTTTTTGTTTTAAAATCTATTTTCTCTGACACTAGTATAACCCCTCTGGTTTTCTTTTGGTTGCTGTTTGAATGGCACATCTTTTCCTTCCTTCTTTCAGTCTATTTACATTTTTGAGTATAAGGTTTTTTCTAGTAGACTAGTTG